AAAAACAAGAGAAGAAAAAGAAATAAGGCTTTTTCTTCCTTTCGGTCGGTTAGATATTGTACAAGACAGCAAAAAAAAGTCCGTACTGCTCTCGTCAATGTACTTTTGTGTACAAAAACAACAATAAAATGATCCAAGGTAATGGATGTTATTCTGTATAAAAATAAATAGGCAATTAAGTATTATCATCTTCATCAGAGACAAGTAACGTTACTATACCAAGAAAAACAAGAAGGATGTTAATAGAGTTGTAATCATTCTATGAAAGAATTGAAAATATTTTTTTCTTGATCTTAATGCAACATACTTTGTTCTTGAAACGGATTTTATCGGTTTATAGAAATGGACAAATAATTATCAAAGAGATATATCAAATAGTGATAATTAGTGACCTTTAGCGCATACATATCATTATAGTACTATTAACTTGATGTTATTTATCCGCTAACTAACAATCTATAAACAATAAATTAGAAGAATTTGGTTCCACATAGACTAGATAAATTAGAACTGAATCAAGCAAGATAATTGATGTAATATTTGAAACACATTCAAAATCATCTTTTCCGCAATGATATAATTTTTAATGCATCAATATAATCACTATTTAAACAAATCGAACAATTGAAACATGTACAATATTATTTCACTGCTCAAACCTACACTGTATTCTGATATTTTCACTGCAGTAGAAAATCTATGGTCAATTTTAATTAGTGGATTAACTGCATCGGACGAAGAATACAAAGTTCGTATACAGTACGGAGAGATACAATCGTAATATAGAGTCATGTATTACGTCAAAACACGATGATTTACGATCATTAATGAGCGTGTTGGTTCAACCCAAGTGTATTATTGTTAGAAAGAGTACTGTTTAAAATCAGAAATAAAACTGTTTTATTTCTCTAGTATATTGAGGACCATTAATATTTCTTCGACTAATCAGGTTTTCTCGCGTTTTCTCTCAAATGGGTGTTGAAATATAACTGTCAGTACTCTTACTTTATATAACAGATGATGTTTGTCATAAGGCAACTGTCTTTGCATATTTATTCATACATGAAACCAATCAGAGACTAGCAGTTTTGCTAAGATGTAGAAAATTTGTCGAAGTGACACATAAGCGTTAAAATAGCTGTTGTGATATTATGTACCGATAGTTTGATTGTAAAAATTTGGCTATAATATTTTTCAGAAGTCTTATTATTATGATCGATTAAATTTTATTAATCAACTCTGATTTAACAATCAGAATTGAGATTGTATTATTAGAACAAAATCAATTTTAGTGTATAAAATCTTCAAATCATGATTATTAGGCTTTGCTTTTCATATTTCATTATTATGACAATGGTATTTGATACAAAATAAAGACAAAAATGAACTAGCTATCAAAATTTTTGCAGCATTCTTTCTTCTGTAAACATTTCAGAAAAATAAAATAGACTGATTTATATTAGATTGAAAGGTCTTATATTCATCATTGAAACTCTGCGTCAGATGCACTTGGAGATTTACCAAGAAAATAGTTGATAATAATCTATATTGGATTAACAAAATATTTTCTGTCTAGTGCTTACAATCAAAAAAATAGTCACGGTTTTTTTTTCTGTATTCAATTTTTTCTCCTATTGAGTTGTTTTATAAAGCGTTATTTTGGTTTTAAGTAAAAGACAAGTTAATTGTCTATAAAATTCTACAAAAATGGACTTAATTTAGTCATAGATGGTATTTATAAAATATTTTTTTTGAGTAGAAATAAATCTATAAAGAAAATATCGATTTTGCCAAAATTTGACTTCCAATCTCAACAAAAGAGTAAATTTAAAAAAGTTATCAAATCATAAGTAACCGATGATAGCTTTTTTTCAGCGCTATCTAAGAGTCACTTATGCTTTTTAAAAGTCGGCATTCTTTTGCAGAAGAAAAAAAAAAAGATTATTAATAAAAGTCTAAGAATTCGATGTCGTTCATTTAATCACATAAGACAGTATCTTTAATTCTTCTGTTAAATGAAATATCGACAACTGTTTCAAATACTATTCTATAGATATTTTTTAGTGATATTTACAACTTATACAATATTTTTTTTTGTATTTAACAGTGCTAAAAATATTGTTTTGGTTTATTGACGAAAACAACTTGACATAGAAAGAAACGAATAAAACCGGTCGAAATCAAAATTAAATAATGTAAAAAAACTGAGAAGAAAATTTAATTATGTCAATTGATGCTAATTCCAAAATAGCAATAAAATATATATTATATTTAAGGTATGTTGCTGCGAATGAATATGCAAAGTTGATCTACATCCCAAAACTTCTAACGACGATGTTCTTCAAGCGTTTTCTCCAAATCGTATCACATTCTAATCGAAGATTGTAAAAACAGAATTATATATGATGGATCTGCAAGACAACCTTGAAATGAAAGCTGACGAATGAATGATGTTATAGGATTAAGATTATGTTGATGATTAAGCAATAATAGAATATTTGAACTTGTTTGATACTGTAGAATCTGAGAATGAAGTAATACATGAACGTGATGAAATTGTCAATTTGTGGAGCGTAAAAAACTGTATCGATCTCCACTATGAGTTTTTATGTTGAGTTCACAAGAACAAGAGTATCGGTGTTATACTTGATGTAAGAAAAACTCAAACGTCGTATAGCAGTAATAAGACTACTTTGCCTAAAGTTTTTTTGCGTTCAATAAAAGATCTAAAAATCTATTGAGATTCCGGTTTTCAAATTCTCAACGGATTTTTTAAGAACAGGAAGCGGCTTCAACGATGTTGGTCAAGAAATATATTGTTGTCATTTTAGTTTGGGCTCTTCTCAGCATTTCTACCAATGTTCGATGAACACAAAAGGATGTTACCGTTATCGAAGGTTACGGCCGAAGAAGTAAATTGAACCGATTCGATCACCATAGAGGTTTCGATGTAGGTGAAAATGGAACTTTCTATATTACTAACTGTTTACACCATCATATTGTAGAAATGGCAATATAGTGGAACGAGTAGCCGTGTAGTCGTTGGTGAGAACGGAGAAAGACATCGATTTGATCAGTTTAATTGGCCAACAGATGTGATTTTTGACAAAAAGACAGAGAGTCTTACGGTTTCTGATGATGGCAATTAGCGACTGATGCGATGCACTCGTTGAAATGATACAACGATTGGTGATACAATCATCAACAATATAAATTGTAGAGGATTGAAAATGGGTTAATCGGGGATTTCTCTACGTTTTTGACATGGAAGTGAGTGCAGGTAGGCGATATCGACTAGACGATACACAAAAATGAATCATAGTAGCTGGTAGCAATGGATAAAGATATGGTCTCTATCAACCTAATAGTCCTTTTTACATCTCTGTTGATGCAAATTATTCAATGTATGTATCAGATACTGATAATCAGTCTATTATAAAATCGTTAAATAATTCAATAGATGGAATCGTTGTGATTGGTGGTCAAGGTGTGGAAAATGATTTGACACAATTGTCACATTCTCTTAGTGTACTCGTTGATGCTTTGGGTGCTGTCTATATAGCAGCTTGTATAAATAAACGAATTATGAGTTAGATTGATTGAGTTCTACATGGGAATGTCATTACTATTGGAAACAGTGTAGGAAAATAAGCGAATCAATTTTATTACTATTGGTTTATCATTCGATCAACATGGTAATTTTTATGTAGTTGATGAACGGAATCATCTAATATACCAATTCATGATCAAGCCACATTAATGTTCCATGAACAAATTCTCTTATTATCGTGATCAAATGCGTTTAAAGCAGCTTACTCTTGTCAATCCAGATTGGATGTGGGTGTGCGTAGATAGATGCTAATACTAAGATGATCGACTTGTGCCCAGTCACGTGATCTACACTTACACCACACCCTTAATCAACATTGAATTTCTACAAATTATTTCAATTTGAAGCTTCACACATTATTTGATTATTGTAGGACTCCACGATGGGAAAGAGACTTCAGTGCACACTATTGTATAAGAATTATCACCGTAATGAGATCACTCAGATAGTAAATCTGACGGATTTTTGAAATACCACTTCTATTCTATAAAGTAGAAGAACGGATAATAGCCTTTTGGCATCTCCAAAATATTTTAATTATTCGTGTTAGGACCAAGTTAGGAGTGGCTCCTACTGATATTCCAATGGCTGATTTGACAGCAGCTCTCAATCGAATTTTGACCCATACTTGTATTTCCTCATAAGGAAGGAGAGGAAGTGTTTTGGTCATTTCCGTGGGGGAGTACGAACATGGGTCGAAAATCACTTTAAACCTTTTCTTATAAAGTTTTGATCAAAATATCAACAATACACACTGTACATACCCAGGTCGAAAAGTACCGGCCGGTTCCGGCAGGAAAACACCGGAAATCAACGGAACATGGAAGCAGTATTCCGGCCGGAAATTTTTCGGATTTTTTTCCGGTGGATTCCAGCCAATTCCTGTTCTTTCCGGCAGGAACCGGCCGGAAATCCGCCGGAAAAAGTCCAAAAAATTTCCGGCCGGAATACTGCTTCGATGTTCCGTTGATTTCCGGTGTTTTCCTGCAGGAATCGGCGATTTTTCCGCGTCTTTCCTGCCGGTTCCTGCAGTATCCGGTGACCGGAACGATCGACCTGGGTATTAAATATAATATTTTAAAGCAACTTTTTTCATTGGTTAAGCAATGGTAGCTAAAGGGTTAGGTTGTTAGCATCAGAAAAAAACATTCAAAAACATCTGATCAATGTAAAATATTGTGAGTCATAGATATCTTTTGTTGGATAACTAGAACGAATGTTATTCCATCTGTATGAGAAAAAAAGAGTTTCTCGGATGCACAAAAGCATATGTTAACAATATCTGTAGTACGCTGGTCCTCGTTAATATTTATTCTTTTTATATTTAAAGGAAGAAAGGATGATTTGGCAAACTCAGCTAGTTCACCTGGAATCAGTAAAACTTAATGTTTTAAAGAATAGCACAAAAACTTGACTTGATACTAGAAGTGTTTTTCTCAGATTCGCCGGATGGTCCTACTCGTTGAGTTTCTTCTAGCAATGTCTGCTGACTTGAGGATAATTTCTTAGGATATAATTCTTGTACATTAGACGAAATGGCAGCAACTTTTTGTTTAGGTTCTACAGTTGCTGGTGAAGGATTGAAGAGGAGTGCTTTGTTTGCCTGCCACATTTCTCCTTCATAAGCAATCCACCTACTCAAACCTTGTAAAAATCGTTTGGCATAGACTTTCTCGACCCATTTTTTAGGTAGTTTTTTATAACCATAATAAGCGCCAGCTAATTGACCATAAATAGCAGCCGTTGTGTCAGTATCATCGCCTAAATTTACTGCAGCGAGAGCACCCTTCTCAAAAGTTTCTTCAGACCAAAAGGCCCATAAGGCGGCCTCCAGAGCATTGACGATGTATCCTTTGCCTCGAATACCAGCATCGTATCCATGCTTTCGTTTATAAGATCCATTGGCGATCTTCATGATCTCTGGAGCGACCGGAATTTCAGCAAACCATGATGTATGAGTTTCGTAAAATTCGTCATTTAGCAGTTCTTCTTTTGTGGCGCCCTGCAGAGCAGCTACGATCAGTGCACCGTAATAACGGCATGCATCGTAGGCTTTTTGATCACCATGAGTAATCACACCACTAAATCCTGAGTATTCGACAGCATGAATAGGATGCCTATAGAAAAAAAGTGGTACAGGAGTTAGACGCATGAGGGCTCCGTTTCCGGCGACACCTGCTCTACTACATTGTACATTGAACTCAGCAAGAGCATCAGGATCGACAAGAAAGTCTACTTCATCAAGTGGAATTGCATGTGTTACAGAAAATTGTTTTTGACGCCGTTCAAATTCACGCAGCGAATCCCTAGTGGCTGCACCAATATCGAAACATTCTCCAGTTGAGGACATATAACCATGTTTATACCACCACTTGTAGCGAACGAGCTGATCATAGGGAACAAAGTCGCGACGACAAATCAAGGATGCTGCTAGACAAAGTGCCATGGAGGTATCATCGGTGAACTAAAATAGCCATCTTCAGTTTACTCCTATTATTCAATTATATGACGGGAAGAAAGCAACATGAACTATTATAAGAAAATATTGCCCAAGGCAATATTGTTTATTCCTAAAAGTTTCTCTCATCTGACATCTCAGACAATAGCTTACCTGTCCTTTTTTCAGGCCCCAAGTGCCTCCCCCCACTAGATCGGTTACTGGATTCTGCAAGAGAAATGCTCGTGGTCGGAACTCGACATGAGCACCAAGAGCATCACCCAAAGCCATTCCAATCATGGATCCTTGAATTCGATTCAGGATGTCAGCGTTAATGTCCTTGGGAGGATATTGCATATTTTCTTCCAATTCATGTGGCTGATTAATCAAGCCTGTGCCATCTTCATGATGTTGGAGATCGAGCCAAGATTTTTCTAAATAGTCGAGACTCTTTCTAAATGTTTCGATTAACAATAAAAAGCTGTCACCTTAACCCCTATGGAATTAGAATATAACCATTCTTTTATACGATCCTTCAGGGATGCCGTGATAAGATATCTTATAAATTATAAAGAGATGCTCTGGATATACGGTTTTCTATCATACAACGAGAACGGTTGTCATGTCTGTAAGCGGAAGATCCTCAATTTCTATCCTTTGTACTTTAGCACTTCTTTTAGATTGTATTTCACAAAATCCTATGAGTGTGGTATGTGTGTGCACTTAGATTTATTTTTAGTTGAACTCTGTAACTTACCTGATTCACAATGGCAGGCAGAATAGTCCTCCTGCAGCTTATATATAACTGTAGTAGAAAAAAGTGTAACAAAAAACCATCGGCACGGTTGTTAGAAATTGCTTCATCGATTTTCTAAAAGAATCCGTTCGAGTCTCAAAATTCGCACCTACTTCAAATTTATCATTCATACAATTTCTTATAGGCGTAGGTGCCAGTATAGGAGTGAAAAAAAAGAAGATCAAAACCCACATCCGTATACTTTTCGTGCTTTTAATTTTATTCAAAACTCAAGTCTCGTAGCAAATTCCCTCATGATAAATAAGTTACTGGGCTTCACATAGATTAGACTAAGGTTTTTAGAATACGCATACATGTATCAAAGTTCAATTTTCTCTTTCTAACTTATACGTATTCAATATAGTAGCACGAATAGCTCTTTGATAATCGGCATCGACCAATTTAATTTACATGACGCTTAAAGTTTTCTGTACGATTTTTCAGTGAAGGTGACATGTTATTTTCTAGAAAATTCATATGCTTCTGTAAAGTTTTTGGTATCTCATATATCAATCGGTGGTGTTTTCTTTTAGGTCTCTTCATTTGAGGTTATCAGTATTACCTGCGCATTGCGTCAGAAGTAGATTGCATCAAGAAGAAGAAAAATCTATCACAAATCGAGTTTATCGCATTCTGTGATGATGTCAGGATTCAAGATTTAAGCAACGTGATTCGAAAACATAGAACAATCATATTAAGATAGAATGTTAGAATGATATGTAAACTACCATTGGTATTACTATACGAGGAGATAATTCATTCGAAACAACTATACAACTTTTCTATATCACAGCTCTGTATAGCGATGGTGAACATCTGACAATAGTATCAACAATAAGCTAATCAATTGAACGAAACGATTCATGTTCCTTAATTGAAAGTTACAAAACGTATCTCAACAATCAGCCACGCATACTTTTGAAGACTAGGCTTCATTGAGTACAGAGGGGACAGAAATCAAAAATTGATCTCACATCTTTAATCTCGAGTATTTGCAAGCGCTCAGCAATTTCCTATGAGGAAGTGATGTTCTTAAGTAAACTATTTAACCTCTAGCTTACACCAAGGTGAAGCACATTCAACAAGGAGCACATATTCCATGTTTTACCTTCACTGATGGGATTGTTTTCTATTTTAGATCTCTACCGATGGACATAAATTATTTGATCAATACAGATATTCGAAAAAACGTGCATTGATCCACTAACCTCGCTTGATACAGAATACGACTAATCGTCGCGAAATTTGTCGAACACGACAGTTGCCATTAGTTTTATCGCTCCATAAGCTTGTGCCTGTTCAACACGTAGAGTCATGAGATAGATCACGGAAGCACTTGATGGATCTTTGATTTCCACTGTTTATCAAGAAGAGGAGGATGTATACTTTTCTGTATGCTTTAGTTACTCCTGATCAATAGTGAGAATAGCTAGTTGTGATTTTTCTTAATAAAATATGACATTCTAGTCATGTTTTTAAACTCCTAGTAACGAACGTATTCCGAATTTCCCATGCTGAATATTTCATTAAGGCAGAATGATAATTACCCGTAACCAAAAAAATAAACGCAGAATCGGCTACCTACCTTGTGCTGGACCGTACAAGTATATATTTCTATCGGATAATGCAGAATTGAAATAGGGACGCTGTTTCGATTTCGACTCTTGCATCACTGCCTTCTCAACATCGCGTAACATCGAATGGACGTCTTTATTTGGTGTTACTATATGCTTTATAAGATGCTTTGTAAATAAACTGTTTGGTTCTCCTTCTCTTTCAATAGCTATAGTTCCTGGAGCGCAAGAGAATGCAATCACGGATCCGGCTTTAGGATTCATTGGATCTAAACCAAGAGATGTAGAGTATGAGTCATCCATTCGATTTGCATTTGCATTTCTATGGTCATCGCAGGCTTGATATTCTCTACAACAATCCAACAGAAATATTGTTGCGAATGGTTGTTGGACACTTATATCGTCAATAATGGATTGTAACTGAATGGCACATTCGTTTAAGTCTTTATTTGTGTCGTCAAAATCTTTTGGTAAAAGATAATTTTGGCCCTACAAATATAAAGTTTTCGTTAGAAGGTTCACATATAGTAGGACATGAGAAACTATCGCAGTACTTACCTTCCATCGAATTCCATGTCCAGAGAAATAAAATAGTACCATATCTCCTGCTTGTATTTGCTGGGTAAAGTCTTCACAAACACTAATCATGTCTCGATATACTAAGTTTATCTCCATAGTTACGGAAAAATTAATAGATTTCAATACAGTTGAAATGTCAGACGCATCATTCTGTGAATTCTTTATTTTTCGAACATGTTTATACTTGCCGATACCAATAACAAGTGCCAATTTACGACGTGGTCCATGTGGAATATCAGCTTTGGCTCTGATTGTCATTAGAAATGGACCTCTATCTGAAGAGTAAGTATGATAAACGTCAAACAATAGACCTATAGTACTAATCAAGTATCAGAGGCATTCTTTCAAGGTTTCTTTGTGATCCTCTCAGCTGAAAATTGACTAGAATGTCTGTCGTAGCTTAAGTGTAGACGTGGGTCAAGAGAAGGCTAACATCTCACTCTCTTATATCAAGACTCAATCCATTCACTGGATAGTTAATTCCTTGAAAGTGACGTTGACTAAGGATGTGGGTGTGAATGTCTCAAGTTTAAGAACTAGGTCAACACATTCACACTCAAACCCTCAATGTATTTGGTGGTTCTAATACAAAAATAACTAGAGTTTCAGAAGCAGTGAAGCACTATGATGGGTCTATGCTTCATTTTTCCACCCGTAGCGTCATCCTCAAATGGCTACTTTTGGTGCATCGTGAATTACGGGAATGGATGTAGCCATGTCATACTGCGAATCTCGAGTACGCTATCAGAAGAATGATCGTTTCCATTCTAAAAAGAATTTTTCGGTTTTTTTTAAAATTCCAATTCCAAGTCCAATCAAATCCGGATATTAGAATTAGAACTGATATATATATATAATCAAACAAGAAAAGTGATTTGTTTTTCTGTGTAGAACTTTGATTACAAAATAACTCCATAAGTTTCATCCTAGGCTATGCGAAACATTGAACAAAAAACTGAACCATCTTAAATCAAATAAAATAGAAATAAATCTAAAAGTGCTACTCTACAACGTGACCTATATACACAGATCAAGAGCAGTTGTCTGTTACATTTACTTTTGCGAAGTATCTTGTCATGACTATTTTAATATTTAAAATAACAAGTATTTTATCACAGCAACCATCTGTCATAAATGACAAGCTCTTTAAGTCCTTCCTACTCGAAAAGAAGATCATACGAAAATTCTCATAATACACAAACCAATCATAAAAAGCACTACTGATTCTCATCATTCCATGATTAAGGAAAATATCAGCATTGACTTAAATGCCTGAGAGATTTGTAGACTCGACTGATACTTTAATATATGAAGTGTTACATCAAAATACTATCATTCTATATTCGTTAACATAGTTGGTCCAATCAAGTATTCTAAAGTTTTCACTGATTCTACGTGCTCTATCCTACAAAAAATTGACGATATATAATTTGTGAAAACATTTTGACGTAGATGGTCACTGCATACTCAACATTTCAATTACATGTTCACAGCTAGATACTGATTCTATGTCGTACTGTAAAATATTGCCATACAAATCCAATGTATTTCGGACGAAATTAGTTTTGTCATACCTTTCTTGGAGATGCAATTCTTTCTTACCGTTGAATCGAAAACAAAAGACGAAATATAATGTTGTGTGTCTCACCTATACTTATTATGTTTTGTAGACTATACGACAAATGGCTTTTTTCTTTACATGTAACAGCATCCAGAAGCTTCTTTGGCTTCACATTTCTTCGCTGTTTTGATGACAGAAGGAAGAAAAAGAACCATAAAATCACGAGAACACATATTTTTTCTTACATGAGTTTGTGTAACAGTATTGAATTTCGCAGAAAGAAATACAAACGGCACCCCTATCCTTGCCCACTTCTTTGTGCATGTGGGTTAATTTGAGAGCAGATGTGAGTATGAGTGGGTAAGTGGGCTAAAATATGAGCGGTTGAAGGAGATCGGCTCTGATCTTTAGAATGTATAGGTGTGGGTAGAGAAAAAATTTACACCCAGACCAACACATACCACAATGTTTTTTGTCTTTCATCAAACAGTTTCATTTT